ACTTAGTTTGAAGGTCTCCCTCATTTAAAAAAAAATAGGTCTCTAGGCGGGTTGTGTAACACCCTTTTCTATCCCACGAATATTATGGCAAAATAATCGAATTTATCAGAGTAAAATATTGAAACGCAATAAAATCACCTCAAAGGGCGTACATTTCTCAATAAATTCAAATCAAGGTCAATGCTCCGTAAGCAACGAGTTTTCTCAAAATTACTCAAAAGTGCTCAAATGGCAGCGGAACTCAGAAAGGAAAATCCAAAGTTTTCCTTTCAATGCAAGGAAATCAACATAATAAAAACTCAATAAAATATAGTTTGACTCAAAAGACCCCAACCTGATGTTACACTATCAGATCAAGACCCTCTAAGTCAACCACAATGACTAACGACCCAAAACTTCAAAAAGTATTCGACGGCATCCACGGCCAAACCTGGTCATCTGCACGTTACCCACGCAGAGGCAACATTCAAACAGACAGGGTGAGTAAAACGTACGATTCATAATAATCAATATATAAAACAACATCATTTTCATATTCAACATCATCATAATAATTTAGGAACATCAAAGGTCACAACATTATAAATTATACCAAATTGTTACATAAATGCAAATGCAACAAGACTCATGCATGTGGTACTAATCAACAAAATTCGATGGACACTGAGTCATCAACCCTCCATAGATTCACAACACTAGGATCGATTCTACACGAGAACCAGAGCACAATAAAATAACTCACATCCGCACAATGGGACTGAAGTGTTAGCAGTATTTTTTGTTAGTGTTTTATCATATCCACAGGAATTGATGAGAATATGTGATGCTTTCCGTTCAATGGTTTAATGATTTAAGAAGGGTTTTTTTAAAATGGTTTCTATTTTTGTAACAAGAGTTTTCAAGAAATAAAACAGAATAAAATTTGTTCTTAGTTTGATAACAAGCATGCCAAGATTAGGGTTCGGTCCTAAATGTATCCTACCGATCAAATATGTGAACGTAGTTTTAGCCAACATAATCGCGTATCCTCGCAAAAACGTTCATTTCTAAAGAGATTTCGGGAATGTTATTGTTTCAACCGTTAAATGATCCCTCTAAATAACACTCGAAACAATAATCATTAAGATCAATACAAAGCGAATATCAACTTTCAAACCTATGTCTAGAGTTTGTATAGTTGATAGATGAAGAAATTAGGTCAAGACTTAAAAAGTTCATGTCTAAAGCAATCTAAACCATAAATATAACAAAAGATAGCAAATAATTCATCTATATTGATCAAAGCCTTGTTCACATACAAAAGATCAAGAAGAATACATAAAATCTGAACTAGCTACCTCTAACCTTGACAAAAGAGGGGTTTTAGCCACCCATTTCCATGATAGCTTGAGCAACAAGTTTCGAAAGAAGGTTGATCAACATCTGAGTCGAATAATCGATATTGGATAGGAATCCACCTTATTTTTGTGAAAGATGGCTAAGAGATGATGAGAAATGGAGAAACTAGGGTTTTAGCTCTGAAAAATCTCTAAAAAGGAAAGTACAAGAAAAAATATATTTTTCCCAAAAAGTGGCACATACTACTTATAGACATGCTGTTGAGTTGTCTTGTTCATATTGCACACAGAATGCTCGCCTAGCGAACAATGCAAATTGGCAGTTGAAGTGCCTGTGTATTATGCCCCTGAGATATTTCCACATGTTCGATGTGCGAAGAATCCTTCGCACTGCAAAGGCTTCACTGCAAACTTCGCACAGCGAATTCTTGTCCAAATTCTTACTGCCTCAAGTCTGGGGGTGTTCGCTAGACATTCGCTTCCTCTTTGCTCCAGCGAGTTGTTCGCTGCCTCTTTCACACAGCGAACTTAGGTCCCTTTTCTTTCTGGATGAACAGTACCATGGTTTTCCCGGCCTTTGCTGGCAAGTTCGCTGTGCGAACTTGGTGAAGTTTTTCTGGAAGGTTCACTAGCAAGTTTGTTGTGTGAACTTATTGATGTTTGCAAGCTGACTTGGTTTCCTTGTCATAATTTTTGTGTCTTACTCTTCAATTTTTCATGCCTAATTCCTGCACAATAGCACACAAATCAAAGGAACCAAGATATTTTTCACATAATGATGCAAATCAACAAAAGTAAGAATGATTCTAACACTTTCACTACAAAAAGGAATGAAAGATGCCTACTTTTGATAGTTCAAATAAGCAAAGTTTGGCATCTAACATGAAGCCACAAGAATCAAGGTCCTAGACCGAAGTCCGGAATGCATATGAATGCATGATGTACACATCAATATCATCCTCATAGTAATCTCATTAGGGGCATCATCATTCATCAAAATCATCATAATAATCATGTCATCATATAATCATCAAAACTCATGGAATCAACATCATAACGCATCATCATTACTCATAGGAATCATCATACAATCATGTATTAGTCACATATGAATCACAGTCATACTCTTGGTAATTCATCAAGAAAATCACAACATCAAAGCATCAAAATAGCACTGCACAAGCATACACACAAGTATTCGATAAGTTATCCACCAATAATTTCACAACCGGCAGCAAATAGTGCAATAATTCATTAATAGAACATATACTCAATTGAATTCCCAAACATATTAGATATAAAAATATTGGGCAACCAATTCTATTATCTATGCTATGTTATAGCCATGTTCATTAGCTTTTCAACACTTTGAACAGGGACCAAAATGGACTTACGGATCAAAAGTTACGTCCAAAACGATTTCGACCGAAAACATGAACAGTCACGACGGACAACATGCATAATTTTCTGTGTTTTTCACCGATGGAGGCCTTTCGGACCTCCGATTTCGATTCCGTAAAAACCCAAACTCTCAGAAAATTACAACTCATCCAATACTCTAGTTATCTCAAATAAATTTATAATTTTAACACAATTAAACCATCTAATCATCGTTTTAAGATTATGTCTAAAACCTTTAAAATTAATGGATATAGGTTCAATCCTATATCATATTTACGCCTCCAATTCCCATAATTTCTTACAAATATCTCACAGTCATTAAAGTTCTCACAATCATTTACCCTATATGGTTAAAACCACAACAACAAATTTTGGCCACGAAGGCCTAATTTCTCTTATCTCAAATCAGTCTCAAACCTATCAGACCATTAGTTCAAATCCCTCAAACTCATTAAACTCACCAGAAATTCCCATTAAATCCTTACAATTTTCTCACATTTATTAGAGTTCTCATAATGAATTATCCTACACGGTTAAAACCTCAACAACAGATTTTGGCCACGAAGGCCTAATTTCCCCAAACTCAAAAACCTTCTAAACCCTTAAATCCACTTTAAATACATTGAATCACATATGGAAAACAATGAAGGCACTACTCCCCATACCTTAATTGCCGACTCTAAGCCTTTCTCCTTGATTCTTGGAAACCTTGCGAAACTTTTGCCTCAATCATCTTCCTTAGAGCTCTGACCTCTATTTCTTCTCTTTTCACGGTCTAACAAGAATCAATCCTAATTCCATCAAAATTTATTTTTGTTAAACCTAACTTTGAGCCTTAAAATTGGGCTTTCCAACTTCACCCTTACTAACTCCTCCTCAAATGTCCATTTTGCCCTTAATTCACTTATATTTATTTGAATCTATAACATATATAAAGGGATAACTTGGATTTGGTGTAGCCTATTTTTATTCCAATTATACCCTTTTGTTTTTTATTTTAAAATTCAACGTCTTTTTTATTAACTTCTATTTTATTAACTTCTATATGATAGTTTGCATAACTATTTCATTCAAAGAATTTATATAATATTTAAATTAAAAAAATTAACAAACAAAAAATACGTTTATATTTTTAAATGTCTAAAAATTAAAAAAACGGACAGACGGACACGGTCCCGTCTGGACGTTAGTTAATAATAATACAAATATATTCATATTATATACTATTATTTAAATAAATAACCCAAAATTCATAATTCGCAATACTTCATACCAACCATCGCAAATCACCAAAAATATAAATATTTATATTTAAATAAATTAAATAAATTAAATAAATATTTTAATAAATTTAGGGTGTTACAGGTTGGACCGACCTTAGACTCTTAAAATAACTTTTATTAAATATATAAAAAATGCGTCCGAAAATATATCTTCTAAAACGGAGAACATTTGAAAAAATTCACGTGATGTAAAACACATTAAGAAATTTTCCATACTTAATATTCAAAAATACCATCATTCATCTATGATATTTTTCGTAAGTCTTTTGCTTCTAACCATTTTACTATCGTAATCTCTTTTATATGTAGCTTAAATAATTATTTTTATTCTAAATATATTAAGCAAAAATCATACAATTAGGTGGGTAATTATAAGTTTAAATTAATATTTGGGTATGCCAAATATTTAAGCATTTTTACTTTTATATATATATATATATATATATATATATATATATATATATATATATATATATATATATATATATATATATATATATATATATATATATATATATATATATATATATATATATATATATATATATATATATATATATATATATATATATATATATATATATATATATATATATATATATATATATATATATATATATAATTTTCATTTTCACTAGTATGTTAATTTTTGAGATATGAAATCGATTGATGTCAGTCAATGTCACTTGCCCTCAGAAGCATCCAAAACCTAAACATATTTCAAGGTTTTCATCTGCCAGCTAAAACTCACTCTTTCACATGTTGCTTCATTTCCTAAATTTCTCTAATATACCATTTCATATTTTATAATTATTATACATCTTGTCCATTACTTCTTTACACAACTCATCCCACATGTATCTGCAAAAACTCACAAGCACTATATAAACCCCTATCCTTCACAACTATAGCTCACACTCTTCTCTTAAGCCCTAGTAGCTAATTAACTAGTATTTGCAATATAACACTAGCTATATTACTACAAGAGTTTAACTAAAATGGCTTCCAAAACTTGTTCCTCCCTTGCAATTTTCCTCACAATCAACATTCTCTTCTTTACACTAGTTTCATCTTGTGGAACTTGCGGCTCCGGCCAGTACCCAAACCCTAACCCTAAGCCAAAGCATACGCCAAGTCCAAACCACTCAGGTGGCTCGAGTCCCGGAGGCTCTAGTCCTTCAGGAGGCTCATATCCCTCAGGTCCTTCCGGCCCTTCGGGTGGTTCTACTCCTTCTGGAGGGAGTAGCACCGGCTCATGTCCACGCGATGCACTCAAACTCGGCGTATGTGGCAATGTCCTAAATGGTTTGTTGAATATAACTTTGGGCCAGCCACCAGTAACACCATGTTGCTCTCTTCTAAATGGCCTTGTTGATCTTGAGGCTGCAGTGTGTCTTTGCACTGCCCTTAAAGCTAACATTTTGGGGATAAATCTCAACCTTCCCATCTCACTTAGCTTGCTTCTCAATGTTTGTTCAAAAAAAGCACCACGTGATTTCCAATGCTACTAATTAACTCATCACCATCCTCAAGATCATATCAACAACCTATCTACTTTATTTGCTTCTTATTTGTTTTAAATTTAGTTGCATATTCTAAATCATCCATTTGATCTCTCAGTTTGAGAGATTTGTTCATTGCATGGATGATTAACCTCTCGTTATATTATTCATTGGATTCAGTGTTTGTTTTTATATCTGTCCAGATTGGCATGATAAATGTATTATTCCTGATGCAATTTGCTAGGAAATATTTAAGATGATTATTAATATTTAATAGTGTTAATTTTTTCCGTTGAGAAATATTTTACTATTATTATTGCAGTATACTCCAATGATCTAGAAAAATGTGGAATAATAATAATAATAATAATAATAATAATAATAATAATAATAATAATAATAATAATAATATTAAAGCAAACAGACATGTAAACGCTGCAATGAGTCCCGTGACTAATACTATTATTAGGCAATTAAGCATTGTTATAATTTAAAAACCCTGCAAAAAGATATACCCCTACATCTACAAGTATCAAAGTAAAATTTGAATTGCTGATAGAAAAAATTAAAGGAATAAAAAAACATTTAATATTATTTAAAAATTGTGATAACAAAATATCAATTTTCACATAACTGCATGCTAAAGCATTAAGCAAACTCTTGGCATGAATAGTATCCTCAAAGGAAGGGAAATTTCAAAACCAGGAGCCAGCCTCAAAAAGAGAACCAAACGTTGTAGAAATCTGGGCAAATATAACTCCAAAACCAAAGAGGTTTTTTTTTCTAAAGGTCAAAAACTCATGGAAAGAAAGAAAATCCGTCGGTTTCGATGTCATTCCGACAAGCACGAAGGTCGAAAACCTACTCACACAAAAGTCAAAAAAAGAAAAGAAAACTCACAAAAAAAAGCATTTTAGACAAACCATCTCACCTAGCTTTTATCTTTAAAATAGAGAGGGATTCGTTAATCAAGGTCTAATATTGCGGGGTTTCTTATTTGGTTTATGTAACATGTGGTATTTTTTAATAGCAATTAAAATCAATTAAGTGTGTGTTTTGATTGACTGAGAAAAAATTGATTTTGATAGAATTGAGTTTGATAAAATTGATTTTAACAGAATTGAGTTTAACAAAATTGATTAAGGTTTGATACATTTATGTAAAATTGAGTTAAATAACAAATTTTAGTGTAAAAATAACGTTTAAACTTAGAAGTTATAAATTTTAACTTCAAATATAATTAATTTTGAAGACAGATTCAATTCTAATTTAGAAAAATCATACACCGCAAAATCACTCAATTGTCAATTATGCAACTCTAGAATTGCTTTTGGTTCTTCCAAAAGCTAAACCAAACATGCTTTAAGTGTATGTTTGGTTTATCTTTTGAAAAAGGCAAAAAAAATACAAATGTGTAAAATTGATTTTGGAATGATTTTGAATCGTTTGTTTCTTCTAAAGTAAAATCGATTTTGTGCCTCCAAAATTATTGAATCTACTTGGAGCTAGAATTTGTAGCTTTTGAATTTAAACGTAATTTTTACATTAAATTTTCCTGTTCAATTCACTTCTACATAAATTTATCCAAATATAAATAATTTTATATTCAACTCACTTTTAGTTAGAATCTATTTACATAATCAAATAATTTAAAATCAATTCTTTTGACCACATAATCAAACACAAACTAATAAATGTCAAGAAAAACAAGGGTCTAGGGAGCTCATAAACCTTGATTACACACAAAGAAAATCTAATCCCCTATTATGTCAAAAGACATACTTTAAAACATTAGGCTCTAGACCCCATTGAGAGTATTTGAAAAGACAAAGGAAAACAACTGGCCACACATCACACTTTTAAGAGCATATATACATGAGTGAGTCTATATTTCATTCAAGCCAAGAAAATTTAGATTTTAAAGTATGTGCATGGATCCAATCGGGGGATTCACTCATCCTTTTTCTAATAAAGAATTATTTTATCACACAACTCCAAAATGATCCAAACCGGTTAACGTCAACCAAACCCAGACGAGACTTCTTTCTCTAGCCAAACCCCTAAAAAACCTCAAACGCATCTATCACCAAACATAAAAGAGGTATAGACATAACTGTCCACCTAAACACCTTATACTTAAACAAAGAGGCTACCTCACATGTGACAAACTAATGGTCCATAGGCTCCACCTACTCTAAGCACGCCGCACACTCCACCCTACTATTAAACGAGATAATTTGATGGCTAATGCGGTTCTGCCTAGTTGGCATACTAAAGAACTAAAGAACTAACTATAAGTTCTATGGTTTTTGAATTAACAACATTTTGGTAAAACATAATGTTAGCATGATGTTAATCCAGATGTTTTGCTATGATAGTCAGACATCATGTTCAACATGATGTTGTGCCATGTGCCAGGACATGTTATACCAGGAAGTTAGAGCATGATTGTTTTAGTATTTTTAGTGTGATTTTTTATTGTGTTTTAATCCACATGTTTGCGTTATCCAAGGGAGGATATTGTGGGATCTTCTGTTTTGACAGATTGTGTTGATTTTCGTAAAAAGGATCCTTGAGTCTTTTTAGGAAACTTTTTATTTTGTTCGTATTTTTGTGCAGGAGATTATGTCTATGATTTCAAGTTGATTTCTGAGGAATTATGCTTTAAGATCCCAAGACCACGAGGTCTGAAAAATATTTAAAGAAGATTTAAACCTAATGTATTAGGCGACTTTCACTTTTGTAAAAACAAGGGGAGGTTTTAGAGTCTTAGATTTTTAGAGTCTTGTTTGTGTGACTCTGTAAGTCACCCATGTATCTTTTGATACATTGGGGTAGACTGATTGTACATTGTTAATTATCCACTCTAAAGCTTTTAAGCAAGAGTGTATTGTTCTTGGTTGAAGCTCTTAAACAAAACCAAATATTGTAGCTAGAAGAATGTTCTTCTTCTTTTTGGTTTCTTGAGGTATTGTCATTGGGATTATGACTGATTAAGAAGTGAGAGGGGGATCTCATATCTAGAGGATTTCTATGTAGAAGTTGCACAAGGTAGTGATTAAGCGAGAAGTTATAAACAGAGGAGTTTAGCTTTGAACTAATGTTATTATATTGAATTTCCTTCCTAACTTGGATGCCTCCAGATGTAGGTTATGTTGCACCGAATTGGGTTACCAATTGATTGTGTTATTTATTTTTCTGCACTTTATTTTTCAATCTGTGATATTTGTTCTATTAGGCAGAAGATGTTGTGACATCTGTCTTGACATTATGTTCTGATGTGAGGACATCAGTATCAACATGTGGTAGAGAGCCAGGATTTCAATTGGAATTAGAGTTGGAACCCTAGTAATTTTTTGGGTGAGCTTCAGGGAGATTATTTTTTGGTATTGTATGATCATTAAAAGGACATAAGCTATTGGAAATCTGTCACCAAAGAATGTGTTTGGATTGTTCCTTGTGAAGATTTAAAGTCCATATCCAATGAAGTTGATTAGCATGTGCTCAGATTGATAAACACGTGTGTCGTGACCAAAGATGCTTGGGAGTCTCTCAAGACCTTTCATGAAGGCACATCTGATCAAATCAAGAGGTTTTAGAGGTCTCTACCCAAGAGACTTGTCATGAATGTGACTGCTGTTGAAGAAGAAGATCAAGTCACCATCAGCTCAAGTGGACCTCTTAGGTCTCTATATTGTTGATCTGTCTTTGAGAATGACAATTTTGATTTGAAGAATAAGAGCATGGATTTTGTCTCTTACTCTGTAGGAGTTTGTGACCTGGCATATGATGAAGAGAAAATTCAACCCAGTTAAGAGGAAAGTGGATAGATGGACAAGGTCAAATGTCTAGAACATTCATCCTGATATCTTCAAGATTCTGTTGGTCAAGGATATGATGGACCTGGTGTAAAGGTAGAGGCACTCAATGTCTTGAACTTGAAGGGTTCTATCATCTTATTATAGCTTATATCTCTATCTATCCCAAGAAGCAACGTAAAGAGCATTCTATTTCATATCTAATAAGTGAAGTGAGCTTGAAAAGAATATGTCTATCTTGTTTCTATCTTATTTGGAAGGTGGATTTATAATGTAAACTCTTGTTTTGAAGTATTAACTATGATGGTTCTGGCTGCATGTGGGTAGTTCGAAATTTTGTTCTGTTTCTGATGTGTTGGAGGTGTGATTTAAGTTGGGACGATAACTGGAAGCCTTAAAAGGATAGGGTGCTCAAGAATATATCAAGCAATTTAGATCTCATGGATAGAGGAATTTGTTTCCATCAAGAGGAAAGTTGAGTCAATGGTGTCATTAAAATGTCTCAACATCACGACGAACATCAGAATATTCATGCTAAAGGTAAGAACTTACATTGGAAATGTCTCTTCTAGAGTTAAGCTAGTCTTATCAGGCATGGTTGTTTTATCTTGTATGGTTATCTCAAGAGTCCAACTCAGCTTGATGTTAACTAAGCAATGGTTAAAACTCAAGGAAGAGGCTAATTTTCTTTATCTGATACCTTTTAATGTTTCAACCTATTAAGATTGGAACTTTGGCAGTGGGTGTTCCTGACACATGGCTAGAGTAAAGTAGTATCTAATGTACTATGTGTCTCTCTCTACCATTTTTGGCCCTTTAAATGATGGTTCCTAAAGAGAATTTAAAAGGGTTTATGAACTGGATCTCCTAGTTATGATGATGTTTCCCATGGTATAGAATTGTTAAGTAGTGAGATAAACATAATTTAGTTGTATGATCAAGGTCATAAAGTAAGCTTCACTAAGGGATAACAATTGGTCTCTAATGAGTTGTATGAAGTGTTGATGAGGAAGTTGAGTCCAGAGATAGTTGTTATTTGTGCTTACCCCAAGGAACTGCATGCTAAAGCTTAATTTCCAAGGAAGATGTAGTCACTAAGTGTTGCAACTTACTCTTGTGGCCAGGTG